TTATTATTATTATTATTATTATTATTATTATTATTATTATTATTATTTAATTATTCTTCTTCCCCTTTCCCCCTTCCACTCCCCCTCCTCTCGCGATACTTCCTTTCTTCCGCGCGACCTGAACGGCGCTCCCAGCAGGCGGCGCGCGCTCCTCTCCGCTCGGGAAAAGGGCGGCGCGATGCCTGCCGGGAGGCGTAGTTCGCCGCCTTCTTCCGTCGTCTCGAGCGGCGGAGGCCCGTGACGCCACACAGGCCGTCGAGCGCTGCCGTGGCGGCGGAAAAGCCAAGCGGCGGGCGGAGAGCGGTTCTTCGGCGTTGTTTTTCTCTCTCTCCGGGGGAACATGGCCGGATGCAGCACCTGCGCCGCCGCTGCGGCGCGACTCGTCAGCTCGTCGCTGCCGTCGGCGTGCCGAGGTAACCTGCCCGGCCGGAGGAAGACCCTCCTCTCCCCTCCGTCGCGGTGTCCCCTCAGCGAGCCCGGCCGACGCCTTCCCTTTCCCCTCCCGGTCCCTGAGGCGGGGACTACAACACCCATCAGTCACAGCCGCGCGTCTGGAGGCCCGGGCGGGAAGGAGGCCCTTAATCCGACCCCTTTCCTTGGGGGGCGGAGGGCGGTGTGACAAGAGGGGGGGGGGGCCGAAGGAAGGAACCCACCCCCCCCCCCCCCCCCCAAAAAAGCCTTTGGATTAGAAGCACCTGTGTTGCCTTTGGGTTTTGCGGGCTGTTTGGGGGGGGGGCAGGTGTGCCTTTGCGCGTGCAAGCACGCCCACTTTTTGCGCGTGCAAATTTCTGTCTCCGGTCTCTGCAAAGCCACTCGCTTTTCTTTCCTGTCTTCCCCCCCTCCAAAAAAAAAAAAAAACCTGGCAAGATTTGTTTAACTTTCTGGTTGTTGTTTTGGCCTGGGACACCCATCCATCCATCAAGGAGTCTTGGAAGGTTTTGTTTATTAAATAGATTTAAATTCGTTTTATATTTCCCCCATTTTGCCAATAGGCGAGAGGGGAACTCTGGGAGGCCCACCATTACAAACGCAGGTAGTCCTCGACTTAACAGCCACAAAGGGAGCCCAACGTTTCTCTTGTGAAGGGAGACATATTTTTTTTGCCCCGTTTTTTTTACAACCTTCCTGGCCACTGTCATTAAGTGAAGCCCTGTTGCAAAGTGAATCTGGCTTCCCCGTTGACTTTTTTTTTTTTGCTTCCCAGAAGGTCGTAAAAGGGGATCGCCGTGACCTTGGGATGCAGCAACGGTCATAAGCATGAACCGGTTGCCGACCGTCTGAATCTTGATCTCACGAGCGTGGGGAGGCTGCGGAGGTCGTAACTGTGAAAAGCAGTCCTAAGTTAACTTTTTTCAATGCCGTCTTAATGTTGTAATGGTCACTAAACGAACTATTGCTAAGTCGAGGACTACCTGTACTATGAAAACGATCAGCTGAAAAGTAGGGTCTGCCTGATAAGGTGACCCCTGTTTAAGGTGGGGCAGCTCTAGGATGATGAATGCTCCAGTCTGAGTATTTCACGAATGAAGGAGAATCCTCATGACCATAATTGAAGCCCCAAATTTATCTTGCTAAGTGAGAAATGTGTTGTGTGAGTTTTGCCCCATTTTACAACTTCTCTTGCCGCAGTTGTAAAGTGAATCCCTGCAGTTCTTAAAGTAGTAATGTGGTTGGTTGTTAAGTGAATCTGGTTTCCCCCCTTGACTTTGCTTGTCAGAAGGTCCCAAAAAGGGATGACATGACCTCGGGACACTGCAACCGTCGTAAATGTGAGTCAGTGGTCAAGGATCTGAATGTAAATTACGTGACTCTGGGGATGCTGCAATGGTCATAAGTGTGAAAAATGGTCATAAGTTAACTTTTTTCAATGCGATTGTAACTGCGTCCAGTCACTAAGCAAACTCTTGTAAGTTGAGGACTAACTGTATATGTGTCCCAGTAGAATATTTTATTATCTTAGCATTTCCCCCTGTAGTCAGGCAAGTGGAATTCCATTGTGGTAAATATATAGTCTTTGATTTGCAATCATTTGCTTAGTGACAGTTTGAAGTTACAACATCGTTGCAAACAGTGGTTTACCGACTGGTCCTTCCACTTACAACATTACTGCATCCTCACAATCACATCATCAAAATTGGGGCACTTGACAACTGACAAGTATTCATGATGGGTCATGTGTTTGCCATTTGCAACTTTCCCAGCCAGGTTCCAACAAGGAAAGGGGGGGGGAGAAGCTGGACAGTTTAATGACCACATGATTCACTTTATTGCAATGATTCACTTAACAACCATGGCAAAGAAGTTTGAAAAATTGGGCACAACTCTCTTAACAGCTTCTTTATTTAGCAAATCCATAGACATGCCTAGATTTGCAGTGTGGTTTCTGAGAAGTCCCTTTTTTGTTGACTGTTTTTGTTTACTATATTTTGTTTTGCTAGATCTGTGTTTAATTTTGTTAAGATCTTGTCTGCTTATGTTGGCTTTTTTGTTGTCATGAAACTAATAATTGTGCCCTGAAAGGCTGTTAAATTATAAGATTCTTTAGTGTCTTTTAACACACACACATATATATTTGTTTTCGTAGATTTTCACGGGTACAGGTATGTAGGTCTAGGTGTGTTCGGGTCTTTTCCCGTGTAAGATTAAGAGTATCTTGGCGACATTTCGGCGAGGTCCCACTCGCCATCTTCAGGCTGGTGCTTTCGGCTTCCTTTTTTTGCTTGCACAATCACGAAGCCGAAAGCACCAGCCTGAAGATGGCGAGTGGGACTTCGTCGAAACATTGCCAAGATGCTCTCAATCTTACACGGGAAAAGACCCGAACATGCCAAGACCCGTGAAAATCTACAAAAACAAATATGTATGTATGTGTATGTATGTATGTATATATGTATGTATGGTATTCAGCTTTGTTCGGGTATTTTCCCACGTCATTATAGTTGTGCTTTTAAAGTTGTAGCAACGTTTCGGCAGAATCTCATCTGCCATCATCAGGCTTCTGTATTGTGTTCATCTGTGAGTCAGACTTTCACAGCAGTTTCTGTTTTAAATTTGGGGCTAGCCTACTGCTGTGCCAGAATGGTTTTTTCTTCATCCTGATTGGTTGGGAGTCTTGGTCTGTGTTTATTGGTCCCAACCAATCAAGACCAAGACTCCCAACCAATCAGGATGATGAAAAAACCATTCTGGCACAGCACCCATTGGCAATTTCAGGAATTTCAAATTTGGATTAATGAGTAAACAATATTAAAGGGAAGGTCATTCATCAGCCGAGCAAAGTTTTACTTGTTTCATATCCTCATAAAGTTTTTTTCTAAAGAAATGATGCCACAAATTTAATTCTGCTTGTTTATTTGTATATTTTCTCTTCTCAACTTTATTCTGACAGGACAGATCTATGCCTATCTACCCAGAAGTAAGTCCCATTGATTGATGTTTCCATTAGACATAATCTTGGATAAGTATTTTCCAATTTGCCCTTAATAGTCTTGCCAGAATACTATCCGTGGAGAAGAGAACTTTATAATGTTGCTTCAGATTGATCAGGGTTCATGCTCACTGCAAAATAGTGTCCAAACTATATCCTGAGCTTTGATTCCTCATGAACTGTTGTGTAAGATCTCTCTTTGCTCTGTTTTGCTGATGAAAGATTTTTCTAGGATTTAGTGTTGGGGCATTGCTTGATAGGCATTGCTTTGAACACTGCTGAGATCTGGGTGAAAAAAACATATTTTGTTTGGCCTGTAGTGTCTCCAAATGTTTTTTAAATTTAAAAAAATCTGCTTCTGTATG